AGATTAATTAAATAAAAGCCATTTTTAATACTCTTCAAATAAAAACATAATTATGGCAAAAAAAATTTTATAAAGATAATATTATTCAAATTCTGTAACTTCAGAATTAAAATAAATATACCTCAACTTGATAAACTGTTAAATTTTCTGAGAATCTAGCATCTATTAAATCTTTATGCTACAGATGCTAATAATAGCCACATACACACTGAGTTATCCCAAACTTTCAAAAAGCTTATGCAATTTATTCAGCATAAAGGAATTCAATTCAAAACATAATTCGCACTTTTTTATATTTTAATAATATATCTTTTTCTTATAAGTCTTATAATTACATATTCCAAATCTATTCCATTCCTTTCACATTCTTGAGAAAAGTTGATTCCAAGAAATTATTCAGCAAAAAGATTTTTTCATCAATTGATAAAATATAATTTTAAGTGTATAAAAAGTAATAATAAATACATTGCTTCCTACGGTTAATTAGTAGAGAAACATATACATAATTTTAAAATTTTACTTCTTAAAATTATAATTTCAACAAAATTTTTAGATATTCAGAAACATATAATTAAACTTCTTTATTTGACAAAAAATTCATAAGAGCATAATACCTTTCGAGAAAAAAAATATCCCAAGAAATATATTCTAGCAAAACACACTGATGTTATCAATGAAAAAAAAAACTTTTTTCAAAACCTTTGTTTAATATCCCACTACAAGTGCGCAACTGATACAAGGAGATGAAAACAATACTACTTGTTTTGTTCTTTTGCGAATATGCCCATTGATTCAAGATATATAACCATAAAACAAGCTGCATTAGTGCGAAATACAATATTAAAAAATAAAGGTTGGGTGACAAAACGAAGAAATACATTAGTAAGAAGACCGACTTTATGAATCTTAGTGTCGTAAGGAAAACTCAGCGCTATCACATAATTAGCGATAGCGTTAAAATAACTGCACTTTTAAGCACTTGTTATGCTTTCAACGTTAAATAATTTTGCTAGAAAATAACTATTAAATTGTAACTAAAAATCAAATGAAAATGAAATAATTAAGAGAAAGAAATAGAACTACAGCCGGGTACCGGTATAAATTATCATTTCAGATCGCATATTGAAATCAATGAATTAATATTTTTGATAATTTGAGAAAAGTTGCTTAGACTTATATGTCATCTTACCTTTAAACTATTTAAATCGATGTCGTCCAAACTACAGTTGACACTCGGCTGAGTAAGCGCCATGATGTCTACAATATCCTCGTTCCACGTAGGGAAACGCGTCACTTTCTATGGGAAACCATACATCCAAAGACAAAAATTAAAATTTAGTAACTTTTATCCGCACTTATTTTCATATCCATTCGAAAAAATGAAACACGCCGGCAAAAGCTTATGTAATCCATAGGTATTGAGGACGAACTGTACAACACTTTCTTACAACATCTCCAAAATCAACACACAACTTATACACACTTTCAGCACCAACTCATTCGACTTCGCAATAAACTACATAAATACAGACGACATAGAGGTTGAAAAACCTCCGCCTCTGCTTTCGCCTTCTCTGCTGAAGTTTTTCAGATCGATGTTAGTGTCATCTGGCGGTACAATATGATACTTTTAAAGTTTCTAAAACTTGCATACTTTTGTAAGTATGTAGAAACGTTCGAAATTCTTTCATCGTTTATTTATTAATTCTTTTATTATTCATTGCTGCATTTTTACATTTAATAATACAAGTCTAAAGCAAAAATAATTTCTTATATAACTAAAAATGTTCTAAAATATGCCTTAACAACATGTACTCAATTTATTAATATTTTTTCTTTGTTTTAATTATTTCAGTGATGAATACACTGAAAGAAAATCAGAATTAAATTTTGATAAGCGTAGTTGAAGTAATACACTTTTCTTCAAAAAAAAACGTCGTTCATTAATAAAATAAGAAATTTTTGTCAGTGTTCTTTTTAAAATTTAAATTTAAAAAATGCGATTATACTTGATTTAGTTTTAAAATTTCTATTTTCTTTTATCAATATTTCTCGTATTTATACATTACGATATTGTAATATTAATCATAACAAAACTCATAAACTATATCAAAAGTTTAATATATGGGCTATAGGTTAGTATAAATTTTCATAAGTGTATTTATGTGTAATTTTTTTTTAAGTAGCTTCTTCGAAAATGGATATGAGAGTACTGAAATCTGTAAATCTTGCTATCGAATGCTTAACACCATAGTATCTATTAAACTGAAATATATCGCCTAATTTATTTGAAATATTTTTAAATTTTTTCCAGTTACCTCAAAGCATTCCTAATCCGCTTGAAAAAATATATATTTTTGATACTTATTTTGACAGATTTTTAAGAAATTTTAGAAATTTAGAACCGACAACCAAAGATGTCCAAAAATCTATCATGAAAAAAGATTATCTCAAAGTTACAGGGAAAAAGCAAAGCAACTTAATGAAAATTCAAAGTCAATTTAAAAAAAATATTTTTATAAAAAATAAAGAGGAAATGACAACGCATTCACACGGAAAGATATTTGAATATAGAATAGGATTGAGAAAATCGTCTGAAATGTTTTTCTAAAGTATTGTAGTATTTTACTGGTTGTTATGACAGAAGGCGCATTATTAAATTCCCTGCCCACCCACGAAAAAATATCGTACTTGTATCGTTATAATATTGTTGTATCAATTTTTGTAGTTTATTATTATTTTCAAATCATATGATATATTAATTTTTTATCCTAATATGTGGTTATTGTAATTATATTAACAGTTTTATTATACACATATCTTTCTTCCTATGCAGTATCAAATGTCTTCGGAAGGATATTTTAAATACTTTGACAGAATAAACATTTTTTTTTTCAAATTCAAAATTTGTTTTCGGTTGATGCTTTTTTTAAAAAAAATTTTTAATATTAATACTTTTTAGCACAGAATGTTAAAATTTGCATTTAAAGTTAATATGTCACATTTTGATAAATAACATGTGCGTGTAATATTTTGAAAAGGAGACTTAATTACATTTTGCTTGTGGTTGTATAAAAATGTTTTTCACTATTTTTATTGGATTCTTCTGTTCTTGATTGAGTAAGTCCTGAAAGGTTATTTTACAATGATTTAAATACGGAAAATTTTATTTTGCGCCATTTGCATAAAGCAATGTAAATCCAAATAAGGTAGGCTAATTTTTTTTTAAAAAAGTAAAAAATTATCCTAATTAATTTCAGATTTAAAATAATGCCCTCTTTCCCAAAACTATACTTTTGACATGCTTGTACATTTTTTTTTTTCTAGTGTATGTGCGAATCTCCTTCTTTCTTAATTCAAGTGTCCTGCGTAGAAGAGGAGGGGGAGAGACTTTTTTAAAAAAATTAAATTTAATCAACGCAGTACTTTATTTTAGAACTCAGAAGGAAAAAAAATTAGGATTCTTATTTTAAAAATTCAGAAATTATTGCCGGATATTCAAAAAAAAATTTATGATACTGATTTTTTTAAATTCATTTAAAAGGAGATATAGTCAATTTTGTATGAAGTGATTCAAGTGTTTAAACCAACCCTCATACATAAAGATAATTACTTTCCTTGACTGTCAATGCAACATTCTATTGGGATATTTTTGAATATATAATTATTAGTTAAATAATTTCATATAAGATGGCAGCACGTACGTCAGTAAAATAAACTATGATCGAGTAGGTTAACAAAGAAAATTTTTATTTTAGTTACATTTTCTTAAATAATTACAATTAATACAAATATTCAGATATTCAAAAAAAAATTTATGATACTGATTTTTTTAAATTCATTAAAAAGGAGATATAGTCAATTTTGTATGAAGCGATTCAAGTGTTTAAACCAACCCTCATACATAAAGATAATTATTTTCCTTGACTGTCAATGCAACATTCTTTTGGGATATTTTTGAATATATAATTTTAGTTAAATAATTTCATATAAGATGGAGGAACGTACGTCAGTAAAATAAACCATGATCAAGTAGGTCAACAAAGAAAAATTTTATTTACTTTTTCTTAAATAATTACAATTAATACAAATATGTACATTCATATGACAGAATCACAATTTTTAGTGGTAAAATAAAAAAGGATTTTCCTTGCAATTTTCCATTTTCCTTTCAAAATATGGTGTTGGACTATTATTTTTGTTTGTTACTATTAATTCATAAAAAAGGTATCTGACTACCCTAAAATTCTGAATTTTGCAAAAAAATTGACAAATTTTTTTTTATGATTTTTTTTTTTTTTTTTTTTTTTTTTTTGTCTTTTTATTAGCTTTATAAGAATACCAAGTTTATTATTTTTCACTCACTGGAACAAAAACTACAAGTGTTTAAGTAAAAGCATACTTTAAAATGCGTTTTACTCGAAATGTATTTTTTTGAAAATGCTCAAACAATGTCTACGATTGTTCAAAAAGTTTTGAAAATAATTAACTGAAATTTGTTGTGTATGTTCTGTGTAACAGTGGAAGTGTTTTAACCTTCAGATTTATCAATCACTGTTTTATTACAAAAATTACAGTCCCTTATGTGAATATAATTATTGTTTTTTTAAGCAATTTCATATAATAACTAAGATAAAGTGCTCTAGTTTTTGTAAAAATTAAAATATCTCTTATCCTAAAAGTCATTTTAAAAATGAATAGCAAAGCAACACACCAAAATTGGAAATTTGTTCTTAAGCTTTATGTACAGAAAGGGCCCCGTTTATGTAATTTTTTTGTAAATTTTTACCCATTTTAGTAATAATAATTTCTTTTTCTCTTCTTAATTTTAGCATATTTTTCTTAAAATGTACAAAATAAATCTAAAAAAACCACAAAAAAATCCCCATATCTTCATTTTTTTTTTTTTTTTAAAAAGTCGCAAGTAGTCAGATACTTTAAATTTAATTATTCCAGTAGAACAGTATAGCAAAAATAATTTACATTCTCAGAAATTAGGTCATCTCAGGTGGGATTTATACCCACGACTTTTGGATTAGAAGTCCAACGCGCTATCCATTGCACTGCAGGGACATAATGAATGCCTTTCCTTTTTATATATCCTGTTGGACTATTATTTTTGTTTGTTTCTTTTTATTCGTTAATTAAATTTAATTAATGAACTAATATTTGCAAAAATTTATATATATATATATATATATACACTCAAGAGCCAAAACATTATGACCACTTGTCAATAACGAGTTGGCCTACCTTTGGAGCGCAGCACAGCTTCAACCCGCCTTGGTATGGATATCAAGAGTCCTTGGTAGATGGCCGGAGACAGATTGTACCAGATGTTTAAGCAACGGTCGCGCAAATCTGAGATATTGCGAATTGGTGGTCTTTGAACTCTGAGCTGCTGTCCCATGACATCCCAAATGTGTTCTATCGGATTGAGATCCGGTGAGTTAAGCGGCCAGGACATTAACTGGAATTTAGCATCATGTTTCTGGAACCACTCCAACACAATTTTAGCCTTATAACACGGGGCGTTGTCCTGTTGGAACATTCCATTTCCAGCTGAAAAAACAGAGGCCATGTAAGGGTGCAACTGGTCCGCAATGATGTTCAGATACACTGTAACATTCATGGTATGTTCTACCACAACCACGGGTCCCAGAGACACCCAAGAGATTGTCCCCCAAAGCATAATACCGCCACCACCAGCCTGTGTATGACCTACTGCACATTGAGGGAGGAACCGTTCGCCTGGAAGACGGCGTATCCTGACACGGCCATCAGCGTGATGAATGACAAACCGTTATTCATCTGACAAGGTAACTCTCTCCCTATGATCCATGGAAGAGTCGCGATGTTCCCGGGCCCAGCGCAAGCGCAGTTGGTTATGACGCTTGGTCAGCAAAGGCACACGAGTGGGACGTATGATGCGTAGCCCCATAACCAACAGTGTCCGCTGAACAGTGTGCTCCGACACTATTGTACTTGGCGCTGCATTGTATTGGGCTGTCAGCTGAGCCACTGTCTTGCTCCGGTTTTGCTTCACCATGCGAGACAGTCTCCGACGACCTTTTTCTTAGATAGCGTGTGGACGTCCAACACCATGTCGTCTACGGCTATTTTCACCGTCATTCATCCACTTTGCATAAGTACTAACAACTGTAGATCGCTAAGAACCCACGAGTCATGCAGTTTCGGAAATACTTGTTCCGAGCCTTCGAGCCATTACAATCTGCCCTCTATCAAAGTCACTTAGATCCGCAGCCTTTCCCATCACACACAGAAGTAAGTGAAAGAATGATTCTTCAGACTCTCCAGCAGCAGTTAAATACCACTTCCACCTGATCACCTGCCTTTCAAGTCATGCAGGTGAGTTCATTGCAAAATGTAGGGGTGGTCATAATGTTTTGGCTCTTGAGTGTATATATATATATATATATGTCAGGTTTGAAAAGATTAGCTTCAAAATTAAGTGAGTAATAAATAAAATTAGAGCGAACTCTTTACCATCACGTAAGGATTTGTGGGTAAATAAGCCTATTTAAAGATGAAGCGAGCGCTGACGAAGGAGAAACTTCGGGACTTCGACTCCAAGAACGACTCCTGACACTGACCAGTGAGGTTGAACTCTTCTATAGATCGCCTCACACCAACAGATCAACGGAATCGACCGGATTCGCCTCGGCGACACCGGTCCCTACCCTTCCGGCTATTAGTGCATCTGTTATCTACAGCCCTTTTAAGGGCTCATAGTTAGAGTAGACACTTACTCTCTCCCCCTCTCTCCTCTTGATCTGGACAAAATCTTGAATGGTCACCGACTTCTCCTATTCAGCGATCCACATGTGAACAGCAAGCATACGCCAAGTCACAGATCGAGCGAATGATACGCATCCAGTCGTACAAGCTTGCCATCTAGAGGATCTCAAGAAGTACCCAGACTACGAGGAAGACCACTTCTATCAGAACGCATTGATGGAACTACAAGACATAGAAAACTCCATGCAACTAGCGGTGAGTGACTTTGACTCTTTTCCCTCTTGTACTACCCCTGGCTGCTCATTTCATGACTTACCTCCTACTACAAGTCCATTTACTACCCCAAAAAATTCGCCAAAGGTTTCTCTCATTAAAACTAACTCAAAACGCAAAGATTCTGATGAATTTCAACTTCCCAGGAAGACCACCAAAGATCCCTTTTTGATCAACCATCAACTTGTAGTTTGCAAATCTCTCCGAATAAATATTCGGCGCTCGCTAACTGCCCGCAAGAAAATCCAGATTCCGGTGCGCCTAAGCCTACCGCCCCTTGCTTCCCCACGCCGCCATTGGCCACTGGCCCCGCCACAACAAGCCTTAATGCGGCACAGCCACCGAACCCTCTGCCACCTCCTGTAATGCTTAAAATTACTGATACCTACAGGAGCCACGTAAAAACCTTAACTGCTCACTATCCCAAGCTCAGAATGCGCCTGACTGGCGACTTACTTAAGTTATACCCAGATGATTTTGATCAGCACCATAATTTAATTAAGCTGCTAAAAACCCTTAACTATCAATTTTACGTCATAAAACCGAAAACTGAAAGGCCTATCAAAGTAGTGATAAAAGGCTTGCCTAAAATCACGAAAACTGAGGAAATCAAAGCCGACCTTGAAGAATTAGGTTTTTCGCCTGAGAAGGTGACTCAACTCATCAGCCGAAGGACTAAGCAAGCTCTCCCTGTATATCTAATAACCCTCCCCAGAAACTTCACCAATGCAAAAATTTTCGACCTGAAAACCCTAAACTATTTGAGCGTAAGAGTGGAAGGATATGATGGAAGAGGTGTAACGCAATGTTACACATGTAACACATTCCATCACAGTGCAGAAAACTGCCACATGACCCTTCGTTGCCTAAAATGTGGCGAAGCTCGCATAACTAGAGATTGCCCCATAAAGAAAAGGCTAGAGCACGCGTACTGCATAAACTGCCAAATATACGGCCACATGGCCAACTGGAAAGGATGCCCCTGCTTCCCTAAGCCCCCTAAGGGCGCTCCCAAAAATAATAGAAACTCCTATACTAACATTTATAATAGCTTAATTCGTCCCAACATGACATGGTCTTAAGACATGGACCAACTGGACCCGGGCCCAGGGCCTCGGCCATAATTGAGGCATCGTCTCGTTCTCAACTCAGATTTAATAATATCTCGATTCGAATAATATCAATGGTCAAATGTTTTTTTTCAGTTGAATTATCCGAAAAACTAGAAATTTCCAACGATATGTCTACTGGCTACATGTGATGACCGTCATCCATGTATAGGCCTCTGTACCCAGGGACGTCTTAAGGTATGAACCCACTGGGACCGGGCTGGGGCCTCGTTTCGTTCTCGACTTTTTCTTAGTAAGATCATGATCCGGATAATTTTAATATCGTTAAATATTATTCCCGTACATATTCTCCGAAAAACAAAGAATTTCAAACTACATGTCAACTTGCAAAAGTGGTAAGACTGTATTATGATGTGATGACCGTTTCATGTCTAGGCCTAAGCCTAATACCATAAAAATTAATTCAACTCATTTAGTTGAAATATGGCCATCAGTTGAGCCGGTTTGGGCTTAGTTTTTGAGCACCATACAGTGCATCTTCAACATTTATCTGTTTCAAATTACGGTTTGAACGAAAATTTGATAATGCATGCTATATACTTTCTACTTTTAAAGACCTCAGGCAGAGCCTAGTTTTGCATAGGGCCCAGGGCTTCAAAGAGTCTTAAAACGTCCCTGCCCATCCATGCTGCTTTTAAATCCCCCCAGAAATTTCAAAGATTCACCTCTATCAACATGATGCAACAAATTGTAGTTTGAAAAGAATAATTATACTAAGAAGTACAAATTTTACATATTTTTCGTATGTTTAGAAGAAGGAATACACTAAAATGTTTTACAGACATCAGTAGTGGAAGCTCTTAGTAAACATGGAAAACATTGGTTATTTCTATAGGACTCAATACTTTAATTTTAAGATCTTAGTTATACCAATGTCAAAGCGGAACTATATTCAATTTCTATAAGAGTTCTGCTTCGTTTGCAACAGTAAACGATGACCTAGTTGCGTAGACGAATATCGCAGTGATCAATCAAATAGAATGACTACACCAGAAAATTTGAAAAAAGTCCACAAAATGGCAATGGATGACCGACGACTGAAAATGCGTGAGATAGTAGACATGGTAGAGATTTCAAAAAGGGCTGGAAATTTGGACATAAGAAAGCTGCGCGCAAGTAGGGTGCCACGATTACTCACAACGGAACAAAAACATTATTTCCCTAATGGGGCTGTGGATTGGTATTTTTTTTTACCTTTACAGGATTAGTGCATTTCCCAGGAGCTAGTATCATTTTTTAACGAGGCACCAAAAAGGCGACACCAATTGCCGCAAGTAATTTTGTGTGTGATGCCCAGTTTCTCTCCAGAAGGAGGCACATGAGCTCTTACGATACGAACTTGCTCTAGGAATTCAATTTTGCCGAGAGCACTAAGCCAAGCAGGCCCTTAAGCCGACGATTTTTTACACGATGCATAATCATACGACATGGCCGCAGTCGATTTCCTGCATCATGAAAATCCATCGACCTGGGCCGTCACACCAGGTGCAGTAGGCCATCGACAAACCTAATACACCACCCAGCCAGCATGGAGAAAAACAGCGTAGTTAGAATATTTTACAGACTTTTTGGCAACGTTTTTCACAGCAATGGCTGAGTTTTTCCATCGATTTATTACCATGGATAATGTCAATCATTTCGCAACTGAAATGTAGTAATAGTCAAAATTGTGGACTGAACGAAGGAAATAGACTTCAATGAAGGTGACGACAGCTCCATATACAAACAAGGACATGGCTCCAGTTTTTAGAGATGGTCAAGGGGTAATTTCCATTGATTATCTTTAAAAAAAAGAAAATAATCAACCGTGAGTGTTATTGTGAATTTATTGCAGCATTTGCATGTTGAAATCAATAAAAATGGTTGCATTTGGCGAAAAATAAAGTTTAGTTTCATCGAGACAATGCATTA